CAATGCCAACACGCTTATCAAACAGAAGTAAGTTTGGTGCTACAGTTCAATTATAAATTGATTGCCAAAAATACAATTCGTTTATTATAGCACGGGAGCAGCTGTTGTCGGCCGCATGGTAGCAGGCTTTACTTATGCAAAAGTGGAAAACAAGTTTACATTGACTAGTGAACCGCAGATCAGTCTACAGGCTGATATTGATTTCTACTCGGGCGTAAAGTTGTGCATGAAATTGGAACGACCAGACTTGATATTGAAGTGAGTGGCAAATTTGGGAAATAATATTTATATTTTTAAACAAATTCTTTCAATTTTACTTTTAGTTTGTCGAATACAAAGTCTGTCTATTTGACACCGAGCTCTTACTACAAACATATACGCACGAAATCCACGCATAAACTCGCCGGTCGCACTTTGGCTTTAAATCAAAAGAATAATGAGATGTGCAATTTGATATTCAGTGATTAAATTATTAATATCGATTGTGAGATTAAACATATCAGTATATTCAATACTCAATGCTCTCTTCCTTATCGTAATAATATTGTGAATCTCGCGTAAAACTACATTGTAAATCAATAATTGCCTTAATTCAACTAACAAAAGTGATACATTTTTTTTATGTGAAAAGTAAGAATAAAGGGAATAAATAAAGTGTCCAGTCTATATTTTTTTACAATCAAAAAACATCGTTTTTTCAATCGAAAGAAGTTTTGAACGTCTTACCTGCATAAGAAGGCACCCGTTAAGGTGGTAAGGTTCAGATAAGTTCTCAACGAGATCACCCATCGCCCAGAAAACGTGCTATTTCGACTGGGCCAAACTATAGGAAGATTGAATAGGGTTTGCTGGGCATGCAAAGTGGTGGTCATGCGTGGACTCGTTGCACACTGAATATAAAATTCTTATGTGGGGCTCGATTATGGAAAGTGTTCTCGCGGCATGTCTGTAGTGAGTTGCGTCTGAGATCTGGTCGGTGTATTGTCATCAAAATAATGGAGAGTCTATAAGATAAATAATGAAATGTAGAGAATGTCTCTTCCAGTAATAATGTGTCCTGGTGCTAAATAGGGAAAATCGGTTCATTGGTGCCCATAGCCTCCATATATTATATAATACATAACAAAAAGATTTTAAAATTCCTGTTGACTTTATACCATATATATTGGTACATCGGCCAATATGTGAGTTATCTTAATGAAACTCAGGCAGAATCTCTCTCTCTCTCTCTCTCTATCTGGTAAAGATATGCATTTATGTCAAAATAGAAGAAAATCGGTTTAATATTAAAATTAGCTCTTACTTGTTTATTACTATTTTACGCCATTATTATATATATATTGTATATTGTATATATGTATGTATATCAACTACATGTAGTTTATTTTAAGAATTTTATGCCAAACGTAAAATCGAAAAAATATACCATATTCTCATTAATTGTGTACAGAGCGTTAAAGGACAGTTCAGATGATTTTGGTTAAGGCTTTAGCGCGTCGGTCTGTGTTTTGGAATAGTGCACGTATGATATGTTTAATTTCTTCGGTTTTATAATTAACTGTTAATATGCCTGCACCTTCGCACCACTGCTCGGTGATTTCTTGCAACGAAGCGTTGAGTAGCATTTTCAATTGTTCAAGTTTCATCCACGACTTAATATGTATGACTTCATGTTTGGACTGTAAGGATAAGTGGCATAAGTATGTATATGGTATATAAAAAAAATTATTTTTGCGCTCTACCTTAAATAATGTTGGCACTTTTTCCAATATGACACCGATCAATTCACTCAGCTCACTTGCAACTGTCGCAGATATATCCTCCATTGACAGTATACGCCGTATGATTTCATTACAAAAATCATGTAAAATATCGCAAAATGTCTTATTGTACATGGCGTCAGGTAGCACATTCAGCCAGACATTTTTCAACAAATCTAATTGCCGCAAACACTGGCGTAATAACTTCAGCGGCGCTGTGCCAACGGTGTGGGCATCTGAGATATCTGCGAAACAACAATACATGCGAACAACAAAATTATAAATTAAATGTTGCAAAAAAAATATTTCAATTTATATGGGAACTTACCAAATTCCTTAAGAATGCCCATTATGATTTTTTGTTGATAGCTGATTTGTAAGTTCAGGTATTTACAACCCGTCATCTGCAGCGTCTTCACCAGCGCCGGGTACGTGGGTATGTCTTTGTCTGAATTTGTGGTAACCCAGTGTGCCAGAAATTGACAATTATTGTAAAACAACGCCGACTGCTGTGGTATGCTGTTCATCAACTTTCCGTGTATATTGGGTACTTCGCTCAAATACGAATTAAGTATAACAACGATTACATTAATTAGACTCTCGTCCTTTGCTTCATGCGATTGGCGTAGTATACGTTCCATTAGCTTAATGAGTTCCTGCAGTGTATAAAAATAATAAAAAAATATATTGAAACTGAAATTAGTATTGCTGAACGTACCAGTGTGCTCTTCGATACCATGCAACAGGGAAAAAGAAATGGATTCATCGACACATCATCTGCAGAATTCTTCTCAGCTATCAAAGCCATATCTTGCAAATCCTTACGCATTATATCAATTGCACTTTTCAATAGATTATTATTAAATTCTTCGCGAAAATATGTTTCGAACTTTTCAGTAAAATCACTTAAAGTGCGATCAGTTTCGGCATTGATCAAGAATACATCCGCTAAAAAGTGTTCAAATTGTATGACGTCCTCCACCAGCGTACACGCTTCGTATTCATTCATATTTTTCGGTATGGCATACTTTAGACATTCATCCACAAGTAAATTCAAAAAGCGTTGCTTTATGTGTTCACCAATAATGGAGAATACTTGCTGATCATTGGATACTGAAACGTTGATGTTGCTCAAACAAGTCAAAATCAACTTGATATTCTCGAATACTTTATTGTAAGAGGGTCGCAAACTTTTACTAATTTCTTTGAGTGAATAGGAAAGTCTTAGTTGTACGTAATCAGGGCTCTCCTCACAATATTCCATTAAAACGGGCTTTAAAATAATTGGCACGAAGCAGTTTTCCAGTAAAAAGTCGCACATTTTGATTGGATTATAACGGGCCTAAAATAAAAAGTTTAAAAGTAAGTTGCGGAAGTGTTTGGTACTAAATCTTTATGTTATTATATATGTACGCTGAAAAACCAAACATATGTAATATAACACATGCATATACCTGAAATAGTGCCATTACTGTGTCCTGCAACTGATTTACATCTGTTGATACTTGCAGCGTTACACATTTTGATTGCGAGAATGATTTTTCGGTGAATTGCACAAGTTCCTCGAATCGCTGTTGCAGATTTTGTTCCAAAATTTTTGCTTGCATAAGGTATTTCACATTTATCGTGTCGTAGCAATTGCATTTTTGCAATACACGATCTACATCACTCCCACTATCACAGGATATTAAACTTTTCAATTTACCCAAGTGATCGAGCACAACCAAATACTCTTTATGCGAATTTGCCTCTTTAATGCATTGAAAAAGATCATCCACTTTCAGTATGCGATAGGAAACACGTAAACCTAATGACATTTCACGGAACTCATCAATGCAGGCGGCCAGTTCCGAATTGGCTTGACGTAGCGATTCGCTTGCCTCACAGCTAACTGTCTGCAGCAAATATTCAGACTCGCGCACCAACTGCTCACCTTCATGGAGGAACACGTCAACGGTCGTTTGATTGGGCATGAAGTCAACATAGTTGTCGTCGATATTTTTGCGTATGCTCTCCTGGAAACGTTTAATTTGCGTAAAGATTTGTGTAATTGTGCTCTTGGTGACTTCGGGATCAGCGCCGTTGGTATCCTTCAATATTTTCACGATATTTTCGCCATATTGTGGCGATTCCGCATTTAGTTGAAGCGTCATGACACAATTATTTATTTATTTCTTTAATATTGATATTTGAGTGCGAGTGCTAAATGGTAGGATTTTCAAATTTTTGGCAGATGAATGTTATGTTTTGACATTTTTAGTGGTGAATACGAATATTAGTTTCACCCAGCACACATAAATGATGGAAGTAATTACTTAATAGTTTGGTTTTTGGTATAGATTGTGACAGTAGTGACGTCATAAAAAGCAGGAAAATAAGAGCAAACCAATCTAACGAAAAGTAGTTTAGTAAAGATTGTTGTTATTTAAAATAAGTTGATTTTCTAAACGCAGAGCGCTGTTCACATCTTTTAATAACGATCATTTAAATAAATTGTTGAAGCAGATTTAAATAAAATTATTTTATTTTGGTGTTTTTTTTTTTAATATAATAATATTAAACAGTTTTTTATTTTCTCTCTTTTCGTTTCATATTATACATCCGGATTTAACGCTTGTCGGCCGTATCAACCTTATCCCTATTTAGGTACAATTTTGACATTTTGAATACAAATATATTCATGAAAACAGAAATTAAAAATGACTATATTAACATGCGATTACTTGGAGTGGAAATATTTATTTATTGTTTAATAAAGAATTTTTTTAAACATATCATGTAATTTTCTCATACACAAGAGTCTCAGAAATCTCTGCTGGTGCTGTTGGGTTATTAACCGGTAATATAACTGATATATATTTTCTATATTCTTGTTTCTATAATTTTAACCTAAAGCATAAAGGCTCAGTTATAAACAGGGTTTTAAATTTTTCTATTAAAACAATTTTGAACAGAACTACTAGATAAAGCTTTGTTTTGCATTCGTTTATATGTGATTTGTCTATATCCAAATAACCAAAACATTCCGTAACAGAACATGATAGTATGTTGTATTCTAATTTTTATGTTTCCGTGATAATTTAGTTATAAAACTATTTAACAAGCCCGCTATGCAACCGTGACAACGAAATCCAAAGCAAAAGACAAGTAGTAAAAACGATAGCTAAATTTTTATCGGATATCGACAATTGCCCGCTTATAACAATTTCTCATCAGTATCTTATTTTCCCTGTTTGAGTGAGTAACGAAATTTTCGCAAGTGAAATTCCGCCGTCGAACGTGACATTTAATCGATGTAGGCATTAAAATATAATTCAATCGCATTGAATAGTGTATTAAAAATTCCTACGTAAAATTTTACCCTAAAAAGTAGTGATCGTAGGCATTACAAAGAAAAATTTGTGGTAGACATTTCGTTTACTAAAATCTGGAAGTTGCTTTCGTCTGAATGCACATTACATTGCAAGTAATCACGGGCCACACATTTTAATTATATTAAAGTACAATAGTGCAGAAAATCGATTTTTCGTGTGTGATCAAAAAGAAGAAATTGGGCCACCTAAATACAATACGGTTCAGTTCAGTTCAAATCACTTCGGCATTTATATAGTGGGAGAGAAGCTGAAACAAGTAAGCATTGCCGTTATAAGTGCAATTCGACTGTGTATAAAAACAACAATTAATGATGTGAATTGGATTAACCTCTAGAAGCGCAAGTGCATTTAATTATGTTCTTTATGTTCGGTTGCTGTTTTATATGCTCCGAACATATCAGGATAATATACATAAAAAGTGTGTTAAATAGTAGGGGGCGGAGGTGAAAACACGAAGTTGGACAAGCTGATGTTGTTTTTGCATTAATCGTGTGCTAATTGTAATGAAGGTGGTGTGTTTCAGTCGAAGCCTCAGCTGATGAGTCGACGCTATTGCGCAAGGTAGTGCTGCGCAACTACACGCTGCTGGAATGTAACAGCTGTGTAAATAGCGAATTTCTATGCTAACATAAACACCTAGAGAGGATTCAAGAGGAGTCAATTTTACTTGTGAACAAAGTTATAGTGGCTTTTATAATAATTAGGGATAAATGAAACACAACCATAAGCCGGCTCATATTTAATATTATTCATATTAACACAAGGCTTTTTCATTTAATGTGGCTTTATATAATAGTAGCAAAGTGTCAAAATGATGTTTGTCCGTATGGAGTTGTTACCTATTGTACGTGAATAATAGCGTTGTTTTCTAGGTTTCCTGCGGATTTCCTCTCCATGGAACATATTGGTATTCTCGATTTTCCCTTCTATATTTTATTTCTCTATATATCTTTTCATCGTCAGCGCTCATCACATCAGGCCACTTTACGAATATATCTTGACACTTCTCTTCAACTTCCTTGATGTCTCCCATCTCTTGATATTCGTCTTCCAGGTCGAATTCTTGTGTTGTCGTCGTAATGCAATTCTCGCATATTTTATCCTTTAGTTTCTCCTCAATTTCCTAAGGAGACATTTTATTGTTCACATCATTAAATGTGCATTGCTCCTCCAAAGTAATTTCCTCTACGCGCAGCTTGCCTTCCTTCGATATGCCATCTACGCAAGGTTTCTCGAAGGTTATATCTTCCACGCGCAGCTTGCCAAAGGTAATGTCTTTTACGAGTGTCGTACCTTCAGTGTTGTAATTTGCACCTGATCCCGTTATCAGGTGACTAACCATTATTCTATCATCTGCTTGAAGACAAGATTTTAACTAGCTCATTCTTTTGGAGTTACTAATGTCCTTATTAGTATGGACATACTCCTCGAAGAGCTTTTTAGATTGATGCCATTCTCGGAAATCGCCTGAAAATTTTTTTAATTCCATTTTTGGTAATTCCAATTACTCAACTGTTTTTTAAAGTTGATTTCTTTTTGTTTTTTAACATTCGCAAAGTGTCGGTGACTTCCAAATATAGATCTTCTATCAAAAATTATTACACGACTTGTTATATTTCATTGGCAATTCGTCGATATTTTTCTCCATGTAGCTCCACTAGTGCTTGAGACGTTCTTCGTATCTTTCGATTTAACTTTCGTCTCCATTATTTAGATTTACTTTTGCCTCTGCAATGAAAAAACGATTTTTTTCTGATTTTTTTCAATTGCCTGCTCTATGAGGTCTATCATTTGATCAATTGGGCTTATTGCTCTTGCTCCTATCTCCATCTCTGTGGTTGCGAGTTCCATTTTGCGCTGCTCAGCTCGTTTCCTATCATCTTCGGCTCTCCTCCTCCTTTAAAATCTAGATTTATTTTCTCAAATCTAATCTCTTTTTAGATGTTATATCTTCTACGCGTAGCTCGCCTTTCCTTTGTACCATGTCCGCAGTGTTCGACATTTTAACTATTTTTTTAATGAATGAAAATATTCTTTAAAAAAATCGATTCACAGCTGCTGAATATTTTTTTTATGTGGTCATATAAATGGGAATATGGACCCGTCTTACAATTTCCTTATTCATCTGTCTGTATTTTCCTTCATACAGGACTTTCTCTTTGGCTGAGACCACAATCCGGCTCGAAGGACCAAATGAACGAAAGACAAGCTTTGTCAAATATTCCTTACCACTGGTGGGGGGAAATAATTGATAGGCAAGTCTTGTTCTGTGAGACTGAAATAGTTCTCGTAGAATCAAATAGTTCAAGGCCCAATTTAACACATTTTTGACATTAAATTAAAGTCGTGTCGTCATCCTGATCAATTGTTTATATAATGCATATCGATTTGGATTATTTTTAGCTGTCATAAACAACCATACTCTCTGGCAAAGTACTGAGAGTATAAAAGTGTAAAAAAAAAATATAAATAAAGCGCAAAAGTAAAAAAACGTGAATAAACAACATAACAGTAAACACAAATATTTAGCAAGGAAGAATAATACATCAATGACGAAAGCTTGTGGAACTGCTTAAAATAAAGAATTTAAGTGTTTTTCACGTAGAACTCTTTAAGCAGAAAACTAAAAATACATAAATAAATTTTATTAAAGCAATGATCAACTGTATAAACTGAAGGTAAGCTCATTGTTAATTGTTATTATCAATATATTTTTTTACTAAATAATGGCTTCTAATAAAAAAGAAAGGAAAAACATCATACTAGAATTAACCACTCCTCTAACGCTTTTCTCCTAATGGTCCGTAGAAACAGCACGTTTCCTGATTCTAACGCTATATAACTACAACCAATTTGAAACATACGACTTAGTCTGTTATTAGAAAACCGCTACCGCTAAAATTCTTCCATTTCTCGCTGAATAACGCGTTACACATCTAGCGAAAATTTTAGTGAAATTAGTAAGCGCAATGTCGATAAGAGTAAATAGTAAATGTGTTAACTTTTCCGAGGTTACGTTATCAAAAAAAATGTGTTACAGCACTTATTTTTCAACGAAAACACTGTTTAAGTAAGATTATGTCGGCTAATTTATCGCAGTCACAAGCATTGATTTGTTTAAGCGGAAGTCATACATTTTACATAATTTTAATAGAAAAAATGAAATTATTGGCATTAAAAAAGTGATTACAAAAGCTACTTGATTTACGCAATTGTCGCGCTCTTGACTCCACCTCGCTATAGAGACATAATAATCTAAGCATGTATGTATTTGCAATATTTTTCTTTAAATACATACTCGTATTTATGTAGGTATTTAACCCACTTGTTGTTGGCTGTTGGTATCTACGCCAATAACGAAAGAAGAAGAATATAACCCGCTTTTTATACTCTCGCAACAAAGTTGCTAAAGAGAGTATTATAGTTTTGTTCACATAACGGTTGTTTGTAAGTCCTAAAACTAAGAGAGTCAGATATAGGGTTATATATAGCAAAGTGATCAGGGTGACGAGTAGAGTTAAAATCCGGATATCTGTGTGTCCGTCCGTCCGTCCGTGCCAACTGTAACTTGAGTAAAAATTGAGATATCATGATGAAACTTGGTGCACATTTCTTGGCTCCATAAGAACGTTAAGTTCGAAGATGGGCAAAGTCGCAAAATCACTGCCACGCCCACAAAATGGCGGAAACCGAAAACCTATAAAGTGTCATAACTAAGCCATAAATAAGGATATTAAAGTAAACTTTGGCACAAAGGATCGCATTAGGGAGTGGCATATTTGAACGTAATTTTTTTTGGAAAAGTGGGTGTGGCCCCGGCCCCTACCAAGTTTTTTGTACATATCTCGGAAACTACTATAGCTGTGTCACCAAACTCTACAGAGTTGTTTCATTCATTTCCATGACCAGTTCAAAAATGGAAGCATTCGGATAATAACCACGCCCACCTCCCATACAAAGTGCGTTAACCGACTAACAAAAAACGTCAGAAACACTAAATTGCACGGAAGAAATGGCAAAAGGAAGCTGTATCCAGCCTTTTTTTTTAAATTGAAAATGGGCGTGGGGTCCTCCACTTATGGACCAAAACCCATATCTCAGGAAGTACTCGACCGATTTCAATGAAATTCGGTATGTAATATTTTCTTAACACCYTGATGACATGTACSAAATATGGGTGAAATCGGTTCACAACCACGCCTTCTTCCAATATAACGCTATTTTGAATTCCATCTGATGCCTTCTCTGTATAATATATATATTAGGAACCAATGATGATAGCGGAACAGAACTTTACACAAATACGGTATTTGAGCTGAGGTATCCCTTGTGGAAAAATTATCGTGATCGGACTATAACTTTTCAATACAAAAAAAAAAAAAAAACATAAAATCAAAAAACAATTCAATACTCAAAGTATACAAATTGATATAATCTAATTAATTTTACAGCAAAATGAAATATATGTAAATGACGGATAATGAAATATCGATTATCACTTTATCATGCGAGAGTATAAAATGTTCGGTGACACCCGAACTGAGCCCTTCCTTACTTGTTATTTCCTGTTTTGAATGATATTCTAAGACTTCCTTACTGTTATATTTTATCACCGGGTGCATATATATGTACGCTTTCCTATTTTTTTTTTGTATATTTTCTTACGTTGATATGCACTTCAGCGTTTTTTCACCAAATTTGTTTTATCTTATCAATATATTAGTTGTTCGTAGGTATTAACATTTGGTACATCAGCTGCATATATACATAACCTTGTTTATGGCTTAAAGCAACAAGGTTGCAAATAACATAAATTTCATTTGTCGAATTTCTCACCCACTGATTTATTTAGCATTTCAACTGCCTTGGAACGTTTGAGTTCTGTTGTGTTTTACGGTTTTGATAACATTAGTCTACAAACAAAAAAAAAAAAAAAACTTCTCTTAATGTTTTTATCATATTTTGTGCTCTAAGCAGGAAATTTCACATGCAAATAAGTACAGCACCTTGATTTTTCCAATTATTTTCCATTAAAAAAAAACGATATTTTTATCTTAAAAATAATAAAAAATGTGACAAACATTAAGATCGAAGTTTCAGATTGAATAGTGGTAATTCTATGGTTACAACTTCCAAAACTGTCGGTAAAATTTTTATGCCATAACATTTAAGTGAGAAAATTTCCGAAAAAAAATTATATTGAAAAATCTAAATGTGTTATAAAAAATGGCAAATAGGCATATTTACGGAGAAAAAAAGCTTCTAATTTTTTTTCATAATTTTCGAAGCAACATTTCGTTGGAAGACCAGTGCAATTTAGTATAACCAACAACTTACTTTTCTTTTGCTCCCCTATCTCCATTCTTTCCTCTCCAATATTTCGCTGTATTCACCGCCCTTCAATCGGCACGCCTTTCATTTTCTGCCTTTCGTATGTTTGAGTTATTTAACGAAGTCACTTAGGTTTAGTATGATACAAAAACACTCATATCTACTTGCATAAACATATACCAGACTAAGTTTATAATCCTCATATGCGATTGCACAATCTTTCATTGATAACTTTGGTTTGTTTGCGAGCCGGTTGATTACACGAATTTCCTCCAATATTGTGTGGTTGTATTGTATTTGTATTTGTTTTATTGAAAGTGATTGTTGTGTATTTCGCTTTTTTGTTTTTGTAACGTTTAGTATTTTCCACATTTTTTCGAAGTGTTGTTGAAGCTTTGCGACCAACTAGACCTGAGGAAGTCTGAAGATAGCAAATCAAAATTTTTTGTTAAAACTTTCAATATTTAAGGGGTACAGTTAGTGTGAAATTCTGAAAATTATCAATTTTATATTTCTATTGGTTATACTTTTAAAAACACCATATTAGAATTTCAGATATATATCTCAAATAGCATTTGAGTAAAAGTTTTCGGGTCGACTTTAGAATATCGTCATAGGATTTCGGAAATAAGCGTATCGTCGGATCGATGATCTTCAGGATAGGGGACCTCCAGATCAATAATACATATATATAGTTATAGCCTTTTTAGGCAGTAAGAGACCTCACCTTTGCTAATGGCTCCTCTATAGCAGCACAAAGCAATCGATGCCTTTTTCGCTCTCTCTTCGATATTCAGTTTCCATAAAATCTTCTTTTCTAAGATGAGCCCAAGATATTTCACTGTATCCGCCGGTTTCAGACCAATGTCTGCCATTTTCGGTAGTGGCGCCGCCGAGATCTTGTATCTTCTAGTAAATAAAACCATCTCAGTTTTATTTGAGTGTGTGGCGAGATCACTTCCGAAACTTAGTTTTTGAAGATGCTGCGGTACTCGTACGCCAACTCCTACACGGTACTCAGGAACTTTCCTTGGCCATGGAAGAGGAGAGAGAACTCCACACTGTGGGGTTTCCCTACTCACATGTCGAGCACGTGCGTTCCCGCATTCCGTTTCAATCCATCTGTCGCACAGACGACTGAAAATAAGGTGTTTGAGGTTTGATTCAACCCCAAACCGTTAAGAGCAGTTGCGACTGCTTCCGACAGTACGTTATTGAAAGCTGTCTTAATATCAAAGAAAGCTTTCTCAAGCCATGACAAGATAGAATGCAGGGCAGTATCCACTGATTTGCCTTTACAATAAGCATTTTGCGCTACGGGGAAATGAACCCTCGTAATGAGCCTACTTATGTATCAGTCCATCAGTCTCTCCAGAGTTTTAAGTAAGAAGGAGGAGAGGCTGATAGGGTTTCAGTCCTTAGCCGTAACGGATATAACCTTAGAGATAATACCATACCGTTTCTATTTAACAGGCCATCACTGTACTGCTATTCATTTAATAGGAAATATTTTCTCAGATCACTACAATATTTATTTTCAATTTAAATTTGAAGTTGCAAAGGTGGGAATTCACGTTGAATAATTTTATATGATTAAGGTCAATTAGCGGTGCATAATAATTGTTTACACTAACGATTATGATACCATTTGGATATAATAAATCTTTGAGTTTATGTGAAAAACATTTTGTCTTATGACGAAAATGTTGCTGTAATCGATTCTTTCTAGAAGCATAGATACCGCAGTTGCACGTAAGGCGGTACTTTTTTTAGTTGGTTCCTCGTAAGACTTTTTCGTATCTTTATTGACTTCTTCTTCTAAATTGGCTTAGACACCGCTTACGCGGTTATAGTCAAGTTTACAGCAGCGCGCCAGTCGTCCTTCCCTTTTACTGTTTAGCGCCAATTGGAGATTCTAAGTGTAGCCAGGTCTTTCTCCACCGGGTCTTTCAATGTCCAGGCCTCAGCACCATATAGTAGGACGGAGATGATGAGTGACTTGAAAAATTTTGTCTTTGTTTCTCGAGAGAGAACTTTACTTCACAATTGCCTACTCAGTCCGAAGTAGCGACGACTGTTTGTTTGATGACAGGAAACATTTGGTCTTGCCTTCGTCTTATGCAGTTTGCAGTTGTACACTATTGTAGAAGATTGTACCTTCTGTAATCAGGTCTGCAGCTCGAACTATTTTCTCCAAGAGTAGGTTGAAGTAGTCGCACGTTAGGGATTCGTCTTGTCTGAAACTTCGTTTCGTATAGAACGGCTCGTAGAGGTCCTTTCAGATCTTGACGGAGCTTTTGGTATTACTCAACGTCAGTTTACTCAGCCATATTAGTTTGGCGGGGAT